CTGGAATTGAGCATTTCATTATCTTTATATAAAAAATGCATTGAAATTTATTTGAAGATTTTAAATTGTTAAGACATCCTATTTGAATTTGGAAAGAGGATAATATATAAATCAACACTGGTTAGTTTTCAAATTTATTAAAATAAGATTTGTTCAGATAAGACAAGAAACTTCTAAGAAACATAGCCATACTTTAAAATAATGTTTTATAATATAGAATGCTGCTTTAATTCAGATTAGCCTTTCTCCAATTGGTCATCAACATTTTTACTATATTATTTTATACAGTGGATGTTTTAGTATCTTTTTGTGTGTGTGTGTGGTACTGGAATCGAACTTGGGACCTTAAGTTTTCCAGGCAGGTGTTTATGTTGTTGAGCTATTTCCCCAGCCCAACACTGGATGATTTAAAACAGAGGCCATAAATAAGAAAAAATAAAACTGCTGTGAAAACTTAGGTAAGTGTGAGAAAAAAACGAGAGAAATGGCTTATGATACAAAAGCTTAGGGGACTAAATCTGGATATACTCATGCCCAAAAATGTTGTAAAAAATGCTATGATTTAAGAAACTGGATAACTAGTGAACAGAAATAGTTTATAAAACTTATAAAATGGTCCCACATATTGATATTGTAGCTCAGTAAAAAGGGATGATCAAAAGAACAAGTATGACCCTATTCACTTAACAGAAAAAAAAATTGCATTACGTAGAAGTGAAATATTTCCTACAGCATCTTTGAACTCAGAATTATTCATCTAGGGTCTGAATATTCTATGTAAACTACTGGAATGATGCTGTGTTTATTTTCAGGATATTTTAAAATTAATACATATTCTTTGTGTTTTTCCTTTAATTACACAAAAAAGCCACATCTTTTTGGGGAAAAAAAAGTAGACCTAAGAAAACACTTATTAGTGCAAATAGCCTTAGAGGTAGGAGACTATTTTGCCAACAACTAACAACCAAAAATTCTTCTCCTTGGATTTCTGCTATTTCCTTCAATAAAAGCCCTAGAAAAATCTTTGAAACAACCTTAGTGTGGCATAACGGAATTGAATACTCATTTGTTTTTAGAATAAGCTACATAATGCAAAAGAGAAAATAAATACCAGTACATTTGGAATAAAAACTATGTCTTTGTTATAGTTTTGGTTATAATTTCCAATGGCCTAAAGTCCATTAGCTTGTGAAAACACTCTGTTGAAAAAATTTATAATATATACATTTATTAAAGTTTCCTCAATGACTGACGTACTTGCAGATGTTAAGGGACTTGACTTTGGATATAATGTCTACACTTGAGATATTGAATGGAGCATTTGTCATTTCTATTTTTTTCTACTTTAACATGCATAAGCCACATTGTAAAAATGCTGTCTTCTAGTAGCTACAAAAGGATCCCTTTGAACACACAATGGTTCGTCCAAAGATTTGCTAAATAACCAACCATGCCCTGTCATGATGACAGAGCCAGGCTAGTGGGACTCTACACTCTGACCCCCGTATCTCTAGCAGAAGTGCGCTTGGCAGCTGTACCACTCCTTGGGCTGATCTCCCTTCCGTGCCAGCCGCCCTGTCTCCCCTTTCAGCCCTCTCAGCAAAGTAAGCCCAATTTCCAATCTTCCAAGCAAACTCAAAATGTGTTTATTCCTTTATTCCTAGGGACTCTATATGTGGTTTGTTTTCTAAGCAGAAGTTGGTAAATGCAACTCCTAGGACAACTGGCTAATAAAAATTCTTAATAAAATTCTCCAAGTAAAAAAGAGCTAATAATTTTTGATGCCTTGTTAAAAAATTGGAATATAATAAGCTATAACATATCACCAAATCAATACAGATTCTTAGAAGTAGTTTATTTTCACTTAATATATGTCATTATTGTCACTGGTCTTACATATATATATGTAATTTTGTTTAAAAAGATGGTTTATTTCCCCCATTTAGAACTTCTTCCCTTCCCTGATTGCCCCAGTGACTTATTAGACTGACACCTAATAAACAAAACCCAAGGTGGCTGGCTGTGTGGATTTCTTGGTGGCCCCAACACCATCCCTGCCATCCGGCATTCACACATGCATACTGAGTTCACTCCACACTACTCTGTTCTGCTGCTTCCTCTTCTACTGGGATGGGAGTCAGAGCCAGGGGTCGGTGCGATGTGATCTGGAATCCAGAGGAACCCCTTGTCCTCCCCCCCAAAGTCAGGCCTTCTGTCTTTTGTTAATTTTTCTTCTTGCTGATACCCGTTTAAGACTGGCCAAAGGGGTAAGGCCCGTGGAGCCCCTTACTGTAAGTCACTACTGATAAGTTGTTTGAGTGAGTGCTGGGGGACAGATTTACAGAGTTCTGTGACAGTCCATCCTGATCTTGCTTGGTTTGGTCAGGAGCAGGAGCCCATGTGTTTTTGCTGATCGAGTCGAACCTGGAACCCCCCAAGGTCTTTTAAGTTGTTTTCATCTGATTGTCGGTTCTTTTGGGGAGAGGCAAACGGGGGTTGAAGTTTCCTTCTACCTTGCGATGCGGCTGTGTTGAACTCAGTTTCAAAAGATGACAGCTGCTGTGTTTCTCCTAAAAGTCCACCCACCTCCACACTGAGAATCACCCAGATGACATCTCCGTAATAGAGTCCTGTAGCAGTGAACATTCGCCACTGTCCCTGATACATTCCTGCTCTGCTGGGGCTGCACATCTGGACGCTGACATCTGCAATCTCTTGGGGCTGTAGGGATCTCACCATCACCATGTTCACATGTCCAAATTGGTCTCCCCCGACATATTTAAGACAAACCCCTGGAGGCCAGACCTCTGCTCCAGAATTCTGGATCCTCCATGTTTTCACAAACTGAGTATCAGGAGGTATCGACTCCCCTTCGCCTATGGTGACATCTTCAACAAAGGACATAGAGGGTACACTGATGTTTGGGCTCTCAAAGTCATAATAGGTGCCAATTGCTGCTTGTAAGTTCCAGCCAGTCATGTCCAGGAAGAAGGCGCAGCCGGCCGGGTTGAGCTGGAAACCGAGCAGCCGCTGGAACTCGGAGATGAGCACGTCCTTGTCGGTGGTGCCCAGACAGCTGAACTTCTGCATCAGCTCAGGGTCCAGGTCCACGTCCATGCCCTCCATGGTGGGGCCCGGAACCCGCTTCCCTGCCTCCTCACAACCGAGCCATCGCCGCCACTCCACCGGGCCGGGGGACCAGTGGGGGCCCGCTGCTAGGCGGCGCCGTGACCCCGCTCCTCGGAGGTAGGCCCCGGGCCTCTCACTGCCTCATAGGGGTAAACCCACTCAGCCACTCACTCACTGTCGCGCTACCCCCCCTTCCCCCCGCCCCAGGGCCTCGGCCGCCGCCTCCTCCGCCGCCGCTAGCTCCTCCTAAAATAATTTTTAATTGACAAATTTGTTTTTAGTAATCATATATAGCATGATATTTTGAAATATGCAAGCAATGTGCAAGAGCTAATTTGAGCTAGCTAACATATACATTATCTTTTAAGATTTATAATAAAAATTCTAAAGTTCAAAATTTCAAGTTAAAGCAATTTTTTTCTCTATTGTTACAATTTGAAAGTACTTGTGTAATCATAAATGAACAGTGCTTCAGGGCTGTTCTTTAATGAGCATTGATTTAGCTGGTAATGACTTTAAACTATTTTGCTTAAGTTTGCTTGCCCTATGTCTATCTTTTAAGTCTTTAGAATTTGGACATACTTCCACTGTAATTCACCTTAAATGCATGTGTTTCTTAGTAAAACAATAAAATCCTCAGAGCAAAAATGATGTATAAGATCCAGTCCTAGGCCAGGCCTGGTCA